ATTGTAGGCACATAATGAAATAGATACGAGATTAAATATATCTTAAGGCCTAATAGTGATCAAGTAGCGTTCACCAATTATACATATACATGATGGAAATAAAAAACAGAATTTTAAAAAAAGATAGCCGCGAGTATATAACTGGATGAATTAGACAATGCGAATAATTAATTAAGTAAATAGGAATAGATAGTGGATTGGCCAACCAAAACGAAGAACATTTCATCAAGTAGGCATACAAAATTAAAGGAAATTAAGATAGTCCATTAATAAAAAGTTCTATTGGTAGCAGGTAGGCATTTATAAATTAAGAATGTTAGTAAAATATTTTATACTAAAGCTAAATAAGCGTCAAATAAGGCGGCTAAACGTTATTCACAAAGTTATCCGAGCATTACGCAAGTTTTGATAAAGGTAAGATTTAATGTAGACTTTAAGCGAGTATACGCTTAAGAAATAAATTATAGATTTAGCTAACAAGTGGCTTGCAAATTATGTAATTGTTTACTGTACTCATCGCCTAAATATTACAAATATTTGTCAAATAAATTCTTCAGTAATATGAGATGTATTCACCTTATTTCGTTGAAGGTGATGAAGGACTGGTAGTAGAATTTTTCCACAATTATATAAATAGAAAGTTATATAAATATATATATACATAATATAGAAAGTAAGGCTATATGAAATTGAATGGAAACGCTAGCTCTGCTTATATCATTTTGGGAAAATTCTACTGCCAGTCTTTCATCACCTTAAACGAAATAGGGTGAATACATCTCACATTACTGATTTACTGGCAGTCTCAAAACTCTATTTAAATACAAAAAATAAATCATTTTGGCAGATAGTTGATGAGAAAAATTTATTTCAGTATTTTTCATTGAATAGGTCTGCCTTTGAATTACCGGCATAAGAAGTATTTTTGACATAGAAAGGACTAAAATTAGAAAATGTGAAAACTACCCAATTTTGGGCTCTGCTAAATTGCACTACTCACCGCTGCCTCTTCGCCTATTTTACTTCTGATTTTCGCCTGACCACCAGCCGGGAATTGACCACGCGTCGTCATCTCCTTCGTCCTGACCACTCTGGCGGCATGTTCATTCGTCACGGAAACAGGTTCACAGCTTGCATTCACGGCTGGCAGACGCTTGTGGACTCTGACACCAGATTTTGTGAAAGTCGTCTCCTCTGGTTGGGTTGTCTTCGAGGGGTCGCGCAGAAGACGAGCAAAACTGGCAAGCAATTGGTCCACTTGGATGCTGACCAGGGCCCAAAATCCGGCTATGTCATCAGCGTGTATCTGACGCTCGAAGGGTACAAACTTTGACGCGAGCTCGGGCAGCATGACAACCGAGTCAGCCAGACCGTCTGGCGGCATGGAGGCCGGATCAAGTGGTTGTTGACGCGGTTGCTGGGTGACCGATTGGGCTGATGTTTGCACGGAGGCATGTGAGAGCGCCAACCGACAAAAATTTTGGAATTGAAGCAATCGCTCAGCGACCAAAAGCCGAGTCTGACCAATCGCCAGAAGCCTCTCTTCCTCAACTGGTGAATACAACCGAGCGTTTTAAATGAAAGGTGGACGGAAAAAAATCGAGGAGGGTTTTCTGTACATTCATATATTGTCTGGGAATGTGACAAGTTCGAGGTCCGTAGACAGAAATTATGATAACTACAATAGTAGAGAAATTTGTGCAATGAGATTTCATCCAGGTTGCTCTGACAACCTAACTCAGTTTAGAAAACGAGATGAGACCACTTCAATAAGAAGTTTCGCCAGCCGAGGTGGCTCAGGGTGATTTAGGCTAAGCAGCCCTTAAAGAAGCCGACATTTTAATTTAAAATCTACGTATACTTTTCGATATTAATGCCTAATTTTTGAAAAAGGGTGATTCACATTTGCCACGGAGCTATCAAAAATGGTTGCGGTGACTTCCATTTCAATTGAAAGTGCGTATGATGAAGAGGTTAGCCTGTAGCTTGAATCGGAAGACGAGAACAGATTCCTCTTTGTCACTTGATGATTGGCTTGACTGGAACATTCTGGTTGACGCATGACAGACAACAAGTTAGTAAAACTTATTATTTTTATTCATGATTGCTGTATGCATACATCAAATGCATGCATTTTGATAAGATACAATATGTAGGAATGGTACACTGTTCTGATGACGTCCGTCATCTGAAGGACGAAAAATAGCATATTTTCACCTGAATGAAGGGAGACTATTCGGAATGTTCCAGTAAAGCCAAGATGAATTGCCTATTGTCTTCAAAGCTCTTCATTAAGCACTTTTACTCGAAATGTGTGCACATGGATTTTACATAAGAGGCATTTTATAGGGATATTGTTTATAGTCCTTAAGCCCTGCATATATGCAGTGGTAATTGCAATAAAAGTAGGAATTCGTTTAAGAATGAGACCAAAAATCTACATAGATCCATCTGATTATGACCTCTATAGAATATTTTTTGTCTACTCGAAAGTCTTTACCCTTGAACTTCAAACTCAACGAATTTTTGCTTCTTTACGAAACAAGCAATAAATCAACGTAATATATGCGAGGAAAAGTTGGGTTTCGAAGAATCTCTTGGTTCATAATTGTTGAGCTTACTTCCATTTCGAGTGA